AGCAGGTGCTTTGCCTTGCACAGCCCAGCACTTGTGTTATTGTTGTTGTTCTGTCCCTAAGTCTTCTACAACTCTTTGCCACCGCATGAACTGCTGCATGCCAGAGTCCCTGTTCTTCCCTCTATCCTGGAGTTTGCTCAGATTCAGTCCGTTGAGTCTGATGTTGTCTAACCATCTCATCCTCTGCTGCCCCCTTCTCCTTCTACCTTCAGTCTTTCCCAGCATCAGGGTCTTTTCCAATGAGGGACTTTGCATCAGGTTGCCAGACTATTGGAGCATCAGCTTCAGCATTAATTCTTCTAGTGAATATTCAGGATTGATTTCCTTCTGGACTGACTGGTTTGATCTCCTTGCTGTCCAAGGGATTCTCAAGAGTTTCCTCCAGCACCACAGTAATAAAGCATCAATTCTTTGGTGCTCAGCCTTCTTTCTGGTCCAACTCTCACAGCTGTGCATGACTACTGGAAAAACCACAGCTTTGACTAGACAGATATTTGTCAGCAGAGTGATGTCTCTGCTTTTTAATACACTTTCTAGGTTTGTCATACTTTCCTTGCAAAGTGCAAATGTCTTAATTTCATGGCTGCAGTTACTGTCCACAGTGATTTTGGAGCCCAAGAAAATAAAATCCATCACTGCTTCTACTTTTTCCCCTTCTATTTGCCATGAAGTGGTGGGATTGGATGCCATGATCTTAGTTTTTTGAATGTTGAGTTTCAAGCCAGATTTTTCACTCTCCTCTCTCAGCCCCATCAAGAGGCTCTTTAGTTCCTCTTCACTTTCTGCCATTAGAGTGGTATCATCTGCATTCTGAGGTTGTTGATATTTCTCCCAGCAATCTTGAGTCCAGCATATGATTGAAAAATCCAACCCAGCATTTTGCATTATGTACTCTGCATTTCAGTTCAATTCAGTCGCTCAGTCGTGTCTGACTCTTTGCGACCCCATGGACCACAGCATGCCAGGCTTTCCTGTCCATCACCAACTCTAGGAGTTTACCCAAACTTATGTCCATCGAGTTGGTGATACCATCCAGCCATCTCATCCTCTGTTCTCCCCTTCTCTTCCTGCCCCCAATCCCTCCCAGCATCAGGGTCTTTTCCAGTGAGTCAACTCTTTGCATCAGGTGGCCAAAGTATTGGAGTTTCAGCTTCAGCATCAGTCCTTCCAATGAAGACCCAGGACTGATTTCCTTTAGGATGGACTGGTTGGATCTCCTTAAGTTAAATAAAACTTAGCAATTTTTATTAAATTGTTACAATTTAATATAAGGGTGACAATATATAGCCTTGTCACACTTCTTTCCTGGTTTTGAACCAGTCATTTATTCCATGACTGGTTCTAACTATTGTTTCTTAACCTGCATACAGGTTTCTCAGGAGGCAGGTAAGGTGGTCTGGTATTCCCATCTCTTCAAGAATCTTCCAGTTTGTTGTAATCCACATAGTCCAAGGCTTTAACATAGTCAAAGAAGCATAGTCAAACCAATTTTTTTTCCCCTGGAATTCCTTTCCTTTCTCTGTGATAAAAAAAACTATTGGCAATTTGATCTCTGGTTCATTTGACTTTTCTAAACCCAGCTTGTACATTTGGAAGTAATTGTTGGTTCATGTACTGCTAAAGCCTAGCTTGAAGGATTTTGAGCATAACCCTGCTAGCATGTGAAATGAGCACAACTGTACAGTAGTTTAAACATTGAGAGCTGGACCATAAGGAAAGCTGAGCGCCAAAGAACTGATGCTTTTGAACTGTGGTGCTGGAGAAGATACTTGAGAGTCCCTTGACTGCAAGGAGATCGAACCGGTTGGTCCTAAAGGAAATCAGTCCTGGATATTCATTGGAAGGACTGATGCTGAAGCTGAAGCTGCAATACTTCAGCCACCTTATGTGAAGAACTGACTCATTAGAAAAGACCCTGATGCTGGGAAAGGTTGAAGGCAGGAGGAGAAGGGGACGACAGAGGATGAGATGGTTGGATGGCATCACTGACTCAATGGACATGAGTTTGAGTAAACTCTGGGAGTTGGTGATGGACAGGGAGGCCTGGCGTGCTACAGTCCATGGGGTCGCAAGGGTCAGATAGGACTGAGCAACTCAACTGACCTTGAAAATTCTTTAGCATTGCCCTTCTTTGGGATTGTTTTCTAGTCCTGTGGCCACTGCTGAGTTTTCCAAATTTGCTGACATGAGTGTGGCACTTTAATAGCATCACCTTTTAGGATTTTGAAACCACTTAGATGGAATTCCTTCACCTCCACTAGCTTTATTCATAGTGATGCTTCCTAAGCCCCTCTTGACTTCACATTCCAAGATGTCTGGCTCTAGGTGAGTGATCACACCATCATGGTTATCTGGGTTATAAAATCTTTTTTGTAGTTCTCCTGTGTGTTCTTGCCACCTCTTCTTAATCTCTTCAGCTTCTCTCAGGTCCACACCGTTTCTGTCCCTTGTTGTGTCCATCCTTGCATGAAATGTTCTCTTGACATATCCAGTTTTTTTTTAAAACATCTCTAGTCTTTCCCACGCTGTTTTCTGCTGTTTCTTTGCATTGTTCTGTTAAGAAGGTGTTCCTGTCTCTCCTTGCTCTTCTCTGGAACTCTGCTTTTAGTTGGGTCTATCTTTCCCTGTCTCCCTTGCCCTTCACTTCTCTCCTTTCATCAGCTATTTGTAAAGCACTTTAGAAGCCCTGAATTCAGTTCTATCTGGAACTCTGGTTCCACTTGGGTACCACCTGCTTCTCCTCGCTGGGAGAAGATGCTGCCTGGAGGAGCAAGAATCTTGCAGTGCAGCCTCGTGCATTCTCCCCTGCACTATGTGTGGCTTAGTTGTCACATGTATTTGATCTGGTCAGATATATCCCAGCAGGAGGACAGGTCTGGTACTAGTTGTTTTATTATAGGAGATGGATATTTAAGCTTTGTGGTTTTTTTTTTTTTTAATCTCATGTTCTCATAAACAGTGAAAGAAATAATAAAGTAATAGTAGTGGTCCATTTTTATTTCAGTGGTTCCTGGACCTGGAAGCATTAGAAGTCCTCTGTGTTTGTAGCCCTTGCACCGGGTGCATTGTTAAAGGAAAATTCTTTGAGATGCCAAAATTCTCTTAAAGTTATTTTGAGGCAGACATTACTCCTACTTCTTTCACTGAAGAGTGAAATCGAAGGTTGCTGTTTATTTTAAACTTGCGGTATACACAAAATCTGTGGGAGTCCTATACATTTCAGACTCTTGCTTTGATTAGATAGTTGGGTTTAATCCTCTTCTTTACAAATTGGTCTTGTAATTCAGATATTCATTAACAAAATAATTGCTGAGGATGCATTTCCATTCATATTTTGATTATTAGTTTATGGGATAATTCCCTATATAAATTCATAATGTTTAATTTCTTTTAATTCATCCATATCAGTAGCCTGTCTGCTTTCTTTAGATACCTTGCAATATAGCATGTTATTTAAAGCTGTTTTTTGGAAATATTCAGGCAAGATTTTCTCTGTCTTTTCAATGCAACTTTGAACATGTTTGCAGAAAAATTAAAATGTAATAGTGTTTATTTGTAATATAAAATATTTATGTTGATTCGCCACCATTTTTTAACTTTCCTTTTGAAAGTTTGTCTTTAAGGCCACGTTCGGCCCTCTAAATGGGAAAATTGACCTCATTTCTGACCCTAGTTTGATGGAATTTAGTGTAATCATTTACTTCATTCACAGCTTTGGCTTTGCGTGACTTTAGACTAATTAAAAAAAAAATAGAAATGACCTTCAAGGATGAGGATTTTTCCAGTGTGACTACTCTGTATTTTCCAAAGGGAATTCCAAAAGCAGAGTTTTTACAACAATAATGCTATTATTAGGTTGAGCATGTAAGTTCCCAAGGCTGTTGCTTTGAAGGGAACAATATTCATTCAGATATTTATATTCTGGTATGTTTGCTTCCATTCTAATTGTATCTCATATACTAGTATCTGTCCATTTCCTTGGAGTTTTTCCTCCTACCTCTAAAAGATTTGTTTTAAGCTATAGTAAGCTAACAATTATCACATTGGATAACTATGGTATCAGTTGTTAATGAATTGCTTCATTTTTTTAACAAGTATTTTTGAGTTCCTGAGTTGATCTTGGGGATACAGCAATGAACCAATAAAAGCCCCTTGTGGAGTTTACGGCCTACCTTTCATCTTCTTAATCTGGTTTAATGGAAGATAGCCTGCATCTTTTTTTTCTTTAACCCACATTTTGAACTTTTACACGTTTCAAAAGCCCTTTGTGATTATTGGATGTACAAGGATGTACTTTGTGAAAGGGGAAAGAGATTCAGAAGATTAAGGAGTTGTTTATAGTTTGATGAAGGCCATGCACTTTTATTAAATAAAAAAGAAAAGCTTTTAATTCTTATGAACATCTGAGATAGAAATACAGAATACTGAGGTAAGAGATAAGCAATCGTTTGTTGTTGTTGTTGTGTTACGCTGAGTCGTGTCCAACTCTTTGTGGCCCAGTGTACTGTAGCCCATCACGCTCCTCTATTCACAGAACAAGGTCAGTCGTTACAAGGGAAGTAACATCAGTACTGGAAAGGTCGTTTTGGAGGTGGTGGGTTTTATAGGAAAGAATTTCAGACCAGAGATGCTTTTCTTTTTCAGAAGAATCAGTGAGATGGGAATAGGCAAAATTTATTACAGAAGAGGAGAGTTGTCACTTTTTCTGGGGTTTAAGTGAGACTATCTAAATTGGTTACTTTTTTGAATTTTGTTTATTTCTTAACATTTGTTTGCATCTGTATTTATTCATGAACACTAGCTTCTCTAAAAAACTTTAAATTTATCTTTGTCAAAGATTATATGTACTTATATGATTTGATGTCTTTACGATGATAAAATTAACATTCAGAGCAACAAGGTAAGTCAAAGGTTAGATTTCTCTAATCCTATAAATCAGAAAAATCAAATCAATCATTGAGCAAGTCAGTCACTAAATTTAATTTCATCTTCCTTACTAGGATCCTCGATTCAATGCAGAAGTTGACCAAATTACAGGCTACAAGACACACAGTATTCTTTGTATGCCAATTAAGAATCATAGGGAAGAGGTAAGCCAATTTTCCATTTTATAAAAGGTCATTTGGAAACATTTTTCTTTTTGAAAATTTTTTTTTACTTTTCATACTTCTGAAATAATGCAGTAGTGTAGTTAACTCGAAAGTACTTAAATGTTCTGCTTGATGTTTTTTATTTAGACTTTAGTAATAGAATTATATCCTGATTATTTGCTTTGACCTAGAAATACGTTTTAGACATATAATTTTTTTTACCCCTGTTTCCTGAGGACCTTACTCTGTCCTAAGATATATAATTGTGGTTGTGACTATAATCAATTTATTTCATATTATATTTTGAACACCTGAATAATGCTTATTTATCTCAATGATCATCAATTGATTTTATTTTTTATTCAAAATGAGGTTTTGAAAAAAATGGAAATTGTAGCTAACTCCAAGAAAAATTTATTGTGAAATTATAACAAGCAAATGAAAATAGGTTGGTTTATATTTCACCTAATTAGAAGGTTTGGATTCTGTAAACACTGAATTCTCTCTTCATTTTACATTTATTTGAAAAAAATAGTTAATAAATGATCATGTAAACTGAATGCTTCACTTGAGTATTCTCAGCCCTGCCTGCACATTACTAACAACTGTGGAACTTCTAAAAAGTTACAAATTAAATCAGAATCTCTAAGGGCAGTGTGTAGATACTGATACATTTTTAAAGATCCTCAAATAATTCTAAAGTGTAGCCAGGGTTGTAAATCATCTCTAAGTGAAAACAAATAGATTGAAAGAAAAAAAAAAAGATTGAAAGAACTCCTATTTGTGGTTCTTAACCTTGGCTGCAAACAGAATCACCTGTGGAGCATTTAGAAATTCTAAAACCACAGTTGTTACCGTCCAACTCCTGCAACCCCATGGATTATAGTCCTCCAGGCTCCTTTGTCCGCAGGATTCTCCAGGCAAGTGGAAAAAAAAAAAGAATACTGGAGTGGGTTGCCGTACCCTCCTCCAGGGGATCTTCCTGACCCGGGGTGGAACCTGCATCTCCTCTCCTGCTTTGGCAGGTGGGTCCTTTACCACTGAGCCCCCTGGGAAGCCCATCCAATCTTTACCAAGTTCCATAGATTGTTTTTCTATTAGCGTTTCCCATTTCCGTTTCTTCCTTTCAATTTCATTCCTGCTACCTGTACTGTACCATGGTTCAGATCTTGAAGTAATGCCTGAACTTTTAAAATATTCTCATAAGGAGTTTCTGTACTTTAAGTCAATTTCCCTTGGATGCCCGCTACATATGCCCTCGGGAATTTTCCTGAAACACAGCATTCTAAATCAGTGCTTCCAACAGATCGCCAGTTCAGGGTGGATGTAAGAGACAAGGGCTCAGGGCTGGTGCACTGGGATGACCCAGAGGGATGGGATGGGGAGGGAGGTGGGAGGGGGGTTCAAGATGGGGAACACATGTAAATCCATAGCTGATTCATGTCAATGTATGGCAAAAACCACTACAATATTGTAAAGTAATTAGCCTCCAACTAATAAAAATAAGTGGGAAAAAAAAGAAAAGAAGAAGAAAAAAATTTTTTTTAATAAATCAATCAGTGCTTCCCTTGTGGCTCAGACAGTAAAGCGTCTGCCTACAATGCGGGAGATCTGGGTTTGATCCCTGAGTCGGGAAGATCTCCTGTAGAAGGAAATGGCACCCCACTCCAGTGCTCTTGCCTGGAAAATCCCATGGATGGAGGAGCCCAGTAGGCTACAGTCCATGGGGTCGCAAAGAGTCAGACACGACTGAGCGACTTCACTTCACTTCAAAACAGGAATGTGCACGTGGAATCTTAAGATGCAGGTTCTGAGTTCAGGTCTAGGTGAGCCCTGAGTGAAAGCGTGTTCCACAAGCAGAGTTGGTGCTGGTGCACCCAGCCAGCAGTCACAGCTTGATGAACAGGCTCCTAGGTCAGTAACTTCTCAGTCTTCTGAATACCTTCTCAGGGCCTTAGAGTTGCCACGTGGTTTCTTAAGAAGGTAGTTACAGCCATGATTACTAAAAATACCTGCCGCTAAAGCATATATATGAGATTAAATAATTAGCTAATTCATTGTGAATGAATAAATGAAATTGAAAAGACCGTGCATGGACCAATGGTGTTCTTTAATTGGATTGCCAGATAGAGGAAATGCAAAGCATATCTTATGCAGTATTGGGGATATAGTTACACTAAAAAACCGTTTGTTATTCATCTAAAGTTAAATTTGACCAGACATCCTATATTTTATCTGGCTGCCCTAGTTATAAACCAAGGATGTATTATGTGCACTTAAGAAGGTGATGTTCAGCTTTTAGTTTATAAGTATGTTTTAAAACCATGGCCTGAAAAACAGCTTTGTACGGGTCGAGAGACTTAGCCCAAATCATGCTCTGGTTAAACGTCTCTTTCTAAGTTGCATGAACTCTGCGGGTTGAGGGAATCCATGAGAATATGCAACAAAATCACCAGGGTGAAGAGACTGCCTTTCTGCAAGAGAGCATCCTCTGGGTACACATATTTTTGTCTTTGTAACTGCCAGTGAGGAAAGTGAAAATGAAGTTGCTCCGTCCTGTCCGACTCTTTGTGACCTCATAGACTGCAACCCACCAGGCTTCTCCATACATGGAATTTTCCAGGCAAGAATACTGGAGTGGATTGCTTAAACTAAAACAACAGTAACAAAAACCCCTGCTGCACTGATGTACAAGTTAGGTAATCAAATTCACTTATTTTAAGTGTATAGTTTGATGCGTTTTTAAGAGATGCATGTACAGTCCTATAACTATCACTATCATCAAGATATAAAACATTTGGGACTTCCCTGGTGGTCCAGTGGCTAAGACTGTGCTCCCAGTGCAGGGGGCTAGAATTTGATCCTTGGTTGAGGAACTAGATACCACGTGCTACAGCTTAGATCCCAGTGCAGCCAAATAAATTACAATAATAATAAACTTTTTAAAAGATGCAAAGCATTTCTGTCCCCTCATATATTTCCCTGCACCCCCTGTAGTTGAGCTCTGCCTCCCTCAACCCCCAGCTGCCAACAGTCCCTGACCTGTTTCCTGTCACTGGTATCTTGCCTTTTCTAGAATGTCATACACATCATATAAGTGGAGTCATACAGTATGTAGTCTTGTGTGTCTGCCCTCGTTCACTTAGTGTCATGCTTGTGGTTCATCCACATTCTTGCGTGTATAAGTAGTGTGTTTCTTTTTTATTGCTGAGTGATTATTCCGGGGTGTGGATGTGCCACAATTTGATTATCTGTTCATCCGTTGATAGACTTTTGAGTTGTTTCCAGTTTTTGTCTCTTAGGAGAAGACACACTGTTGATGTTTGCACACTGGTCTTTTTGTGGACGTATTTTCGCTTCTCTTGGGTAAATATATAGGAGGGGTATTTCCAGGTCATGTGTTGAGTGTTTGTTGAATTCTATAAGAAACTTCCAAAGTCCTTTCCAAAGTGACTGTGCCATATGCTTTTTTACCTGTGATGTGTATGAGAGTTCTAGTTGCTTCACATCCTACGCAACACATGGTGTTGTCAATTTTTGAAAGTTTTAGCCCTTAAATTTGATCACGTGACTAAATAACCTGGCTCACAGTCACAGGCCGTCTGCTTATTTACAGACCTGAGTAAAGTGGGTTCAGCCACAGGCCCCCAGATTGTGACTGTCCCGAGCTCCCCCTGAGGTTTCTGCTGAATTACTCGGCATTCTCGGCATTGCCTGCCTCCAGGCCCCTCCCTGCTGTCTCTGTTTTACCCTGTGATGATTTGATGAGAAGACTGAGCTCTCACTGGTTTTCACAAAAGCTTATTCACACAGAACATTTCATGAGATAAAAGTTTTCAGTGACTTCACTGGCGTCTTAGTAACTTTACTGATGGGAAGGTTTCCAGACGCAGCTTTTTAAACATCTTGCTGACCCTCCCCACTCTTTGCCCTCGCCTCCCACGCTCACACTGCTGGGTTTGAAATTATTTCCTGTGAGAATTATTCCTTCAGAAAAAAAGGAATGAAGAGAAACAGTCGGAAAAACAGTCATACTCTCAGCTTGGTTGTGGTATAAAAAGTCATTTAGCTGACCCAGAACTACTAAGAAGATGAACTGTATGAATTCCAAAATTATCTTTAGATTTAAGCTACCTAAACAAACTGGGGGCAATGTTTGCTGTTGTGTGCATACAATAGAAAAGTGCTCTTTCTCTCAGGAAGCTTTTTAAATCACAATGGGGGAGTCCCAGTAGGGCTTTGGGGAGTAGTTGTTACAATTGCTCGCTCTGGGCTTGAATCCCATCTTCAACACTTACTTGATGAGAAACCAGGATAGAACTGGTTAATCCCTGGATCTTCAGTTTCCTCATCTGCTAAATGAGGGTTGTAAAAGGACCTACCTACCTCCGAGGGTTGTTGTAAAGATTAAATGTGTTTGTTCATGCAAAGGGCTTGACATAGTTCCTGGCACACGGGAAGTGATCAATAAATGTCAACTGTCATTTGTTTAAAGGAGGCATGAAACTTTCATGAGAAAAAAAGGAAGAAGCGGTCATCAGCCACATCATAACCAGTCAGCTGGGATCAAATGACAGCCAGCACAGTCCCTGACTGGACTGTTACCCTCTAACAAACGCTCAGCTTCAAAGAAAGATACTTTTCATTGTTTTTGCTCATAAATGAGGCAGTGTAAATTTGGTTTCTTCTCTTTGTGTTAGTGCAGTCGTATTGAGTAAGCTGACGCTGACTCCAAGTATTTACCAAGGAACCAAAGATGAAATGTGATTGATTGTTTATAAAATGTCTTGGCACCTTTTAGTGACCCTGGTTTCTTACGGTACCAGCTCTGGAGAGCTGATTGGAAGGAGCAATTGAATACTGAATACTAGAGTCTGAACTACAACATAGTCCAGAATATTCAGGAAGATTTTTAAGATTCAGTAAAATATGTAATCACTTCATCTGCCTCTCTTCTTGTGAAATATTTCAACTAATTAAACACTTTCAGGAGTTCTTTT